GCCACTGTCTACGACGCTTAACATTTCGATAAAAGATACATTTTTCGTCGCCAGTCACAAGTCTATCCAAAAAAGGTGAGAATGGAGAGAAGAGCAGATGTCAACTCTGGATTTGAGGTTGTTTCCAGACAATTCATGAGGCATCCATTTTCCAAGTTTAGGAACTTTTCGAAGCTGTTGAAGATGACGATGAACAGTTGTATGGTTTGAACTGAGAACCACTACCAATTCCTCAATTGATAAAGCAGGATTTTCTTCAAAGGCTACTTCAAGAAGCTTTTCATCAAACTCAACTGGACGTCCGGTTCGATCTTCACCTTCAAGGGTGAAATCTCCACCTCTGAATTTTGCAAACCATCTTCTGCAAGTTCTTTCATTCACACATTCCTCTCCATAAACTGAGTGAATGTTTCTGGCCGCTTCGGCTGCTGAGTTTCCTTTCTTGAACTCATAAAGCATTATGTGCCTCAAATGATTCTTGGGTACTTCCATGTTAGCAGGGTTTTAATCAAACAAAATTTAATTTTATTTTTCCCTGAAATAAAATTTGATCAGTTTAAATGCATCTAAGCATAAAAATAATGTTCAGCTTCATTAGACATTATAAAATACTCTTTAAATTTCGTTCATTTTAACAAGAAGTTAAAATTCGGACAGAACTTATGTGATGACCTGATACATTTTAGCTGTTGGAAGTCTTCAAGTGATGTAGTTTGTGTCATTAGGTTGAGTTTTTTGTTTGTGATTCTGTAGCGCCAGACTTTGAGATCTGATGAAGGATTGAATTTTGAGATATTTTAATTAATAGGCACCCAAAGAGGCTGGGACTGACAACCGAAGATTTGCAAAATTATTTCGGTAAACAATGTTTTACCATAGGAGCTTCGTTTGCAATCGTTTTATTGAAAAATGATATTGCTTTCAATGTAATTAATTTTATTTCTATTAACTGTTTGACATTTGGAGCCAATAGAAGAAGAAGAAGAAGAAGAAGAAAAAGAAGAAGAAGAAGAAGAAGAAGAAGAAGAAGAATTGGTTGGTCATTGAATTATCAGAGGCGAATGGAATTACAATCGTCGTTGTGTAATGTCAAGTTTAATGAGAACAAATTCACAAACCTGTTTCTAAATGCAACGCAGTTATTTGTTTTTCAAGTAGGATAAAAGTTAACTGTTAATTTCTTGAGTAAGTATTCTGTTCACAAAGCCAACAAAAATATTACAATTTTTATGACAGTGATAGAGGAAAAATACATAAGGATGCATACTTAGGTTTCATAGATTAAAATAAAAGACAATCGATACGGTACGAAATGAAGATCTATTTGAACTGATAGGGAAACTTCAATTTATTTGGGAAAGATACTAGAGTAATCCCAAACTTATATAGAGGAGCAAACCGCCTGCACACAGATAGAAAACGCATTAGGTACACAAAGAAGAAAGGGGCGTAAGGCAAGGGTATACCTTCCCACCGGTTTTGTTCTACCTCTACAGCAGTGTTTCTCAACCTTTTTTAAACTTCAGGTCGCATTTGTAGAATAACTAAAAATCTGTGAACGCCATTGCATAAGCAACGAAGAAGTCTTAAAGACAATGGCACCAAAAAAAAACAAAACATATACACGAAATTAGAAAGCGACAGCAGACACTTTTTTTTAACTTAGCTGATGGATGAAGGCTTTGAAAATTTAACACTCACAAGGCGTATTGAGAATAGAAGGGACAGTGGAAAGCACCTTACCCGACGAACTTGTATGGACAAAAGGCGGAACAGAAGCGTGATAGGTTTGTCAAAAGAACAAACGTTGCTAAGGGCTAGAAAGAGATGGAAGGTTGTGGAGGGCCATGATCTCCCACACCCTGAAAGGAGGGACACGGCTCGTAGAAATAAAAAAATAGAATACCATTACATAAACGGCCAAAATAAGAAACAGAAATGATATATATATATATATATATATATATATATATATATATATATATATATATATAGTGTGCACAGGATATACCTGACGACTTGCTTCGGCAATTGGTTCGAGATTCGTCTCCAGCTAAGCTGGTTGAAGTCTCTGCCTTCGGGCAGAGAGGAACCCAGACGAGCAAATTCTCGTCTGGGAGGTAGACAGCTACCCGACTCCATTTTTTTTACGGGGTCTACGGGGAATTTTTGCCCGAGCCTACGGGCTCGGATACCCCAGGTTAAATTCGGCCTTGTGCCACACCAGACAGCGTGAGGTGGTTGGCAAATATCCTTGCTTCAGTAATTATTTGTTGATTCGTCTACAGCTAAGCTGGTCGAACTCTCTGCCTTCGAGCGGAGATGAACCCAGACGAGGATATTCCTTGGGGGTAGAGTCTCGTCCCCCGTTTTTACGCGGTCTAGTGGAATTTTGCGAGTTCGACCCCCGTTTTTTTGACCGCGTAAGGCGGTTGGCTAGTGGAGATTTTCTCCGGTTGTGTTCTGCCTCCAGACTGAGAGGATCCCCAGACGAGGCTTGTCGAAGATTCTTCTCGGCCTACCGACCCCGTTTTATACGGGGAAATTTTGACTGAGCCTACGGGCTCGGATGCTCTACATTAAATTCGACCTTGTGCCACATCTGATCGCGTGGGGCGTTTGATAGATATTGCTTCGGGAATTACTAGCTTGATAACCGATTTCCTGTCTTTCAGTAGTGTATTCTCTTTTACAATAAACCTCTATTTCTTTCTTCTACGCTGTTCCTTTCATCCGAGTACCACTTTTGTCTGTAACCTTCTTTAAGGATCAGATTTGTCATTTTTTAAAATCCCCGTGGCACGACAAGTTTCCTAAATTTATCGGTGACTATTCTAATGTTGGCAGAATCACGTTGTTCATTTTCATCAATACAGATGTCAATTTTCTTTTTCGTGGGTGTTTCAAAGCTTATGCCATTTTCTCTCAAGTGCTAGTGCTGACAATGAAAACAGATGCCGGATTTGAGAATTTGGCATGATCTCTAAAGTTAGATTATTCTCTGTATTTTTTTTTAAAAAGGAAACAATAAGAAAAGAAGAAAAGTTGAAAGGCAGTTAAAAGGCATATTAAGGGGAGGACAAACTGGCCAAAATAAATTGAAGAGAACATATAGAAGACAAACAGAAGGAAATGTTAGATATGCTTTTAAAATCGGAGAGAGTATAAATTAGATGAACGAAAGTAGAAACGATGTTAGAAAAGACGCGAGAAAAAATAAAAATAAAATAAGGCAGACTTGTTCTAGACATCAGTTCTTACTTAGAAATGTAGATCCTAATTCTTATAATGACCTTGTCTTCCAGTTTGGAAATGGAAAATAGACTAAGTTGCCAAAGCAGAAAACTGTGCTGATTACTGATGTATTACAAATACTCTGTGCCATTTAGGGTTTCAAATTGCAAGAGGAAAATTGAAACAGAATTAAAGAGAGGATAGGAGCAGTATTAATAGGGAGAAGGGTAGATAAAGAAAGAGAGATGGAGGAAAATAAAAGGGAGGAAAACTGAAGTGAGATTGGGAATGAGTGTAGCAGACGACAACATAAAACACTTGGCAAGGGTTTAGATTATCGAGGACATAATAGAAAAGGGATTCAAGCAGAATTTGAAGAAGAATTAGAAGAATTTGAAGAATTTGAAGAATTAGAAGAATTCAAAGAAGAAGAATTTAAAGGATTTGAAGAAGAATAAGAAGAATTCAAAGAAAAAGAAGAATTTGAAGAAGAATTTAAAGAAGAAGAATTTGAAGAAGAAGAATTTGAAGGAGAAGAAGATATCTAAAGAAAAAGAAGAAATTGAAGAATTTTACTCTGTATTCGAATTTTTGAAGAAACTAGAAAAATGGAAAAAAGAGGAAAATGCACATTTTGATTCCGATTCTCAGATGTTATTTTTGTCATTTAGTTTAGAGTTGCGTAAAAAGAAAATACGGAATATAGAGTACCACTTTGTTGGGGTACGCCATATACATTTTGTATGGATTGGAGCAACGTTTTTGTTTATTGGAAACAAACATATAAGACGGTAAAATTACTGGCTATATTTACTAAAAGGGTAGGAAGACCTTACTTTACAAATCGTGCAAATATGGGAATAGGCTGCTTACCTAGAAGATCAGCATTTGAAATCCTGGTGTGTATACCGATCATTAGAATCTCCCACCGTAGCCAGAAATCGGTATACGCGTACAGGTAAGACCCAGTATTTCGAATGCGGACTTTCATATAAAATATTGCCGCAAGAATCTTTTTAACCACATTTCCCCCATCCGATCTTGTGTAATACTAAACTAAGCTTAGTAAATTTTGTTAGTTATATTTATTGCAGATTTGCAAGTACACGAATCTACTAATTGGTATGACAATCGTACTTTGTTTGCCGTGAAAATCAGCGTTTGAAATCTTGGTGTTTATCTTTAATCGAAACCGTACTAAAAATGCTGTAAGCAAGCATTTAATAATGCCAATGAAACCAAATAGAAGCGACACGTTCGATTAAGAGTAAAATTAGACAGTGCAAGGCCACAGCAGAAAGAAAGAAAGGATAAAAAGAAAGAAAGAAAAGAAAGGATAAAAAGAAAGAAAAAAGAAAGAAATAAAAAAGAAAAGAAAGAAAAAAAAGCGAAAGAAAGAAAACAGAAAGAAAGAAAAAAGAAAGAGTAAAATTAGACGGTGCAAGGCCACAGCAGAAAGAAAGAAAGAAAGAAAGAATAAAAAGAAAGAAAGAGAGAATAAAAAGAAAGAAAGAAAGAAAAAAGAAAGAAATAAAGAAAAAGAAAAGAAAGAAAGAAAGAAAAAGTGAAAGAAAGAAAGAAAGAAAGAAAAAAGAAAGAGTAAAATTAGACAGTGCAAGGCCACAGCAGAAAGAAAGAAAGAAAGGATAAAAAGAAAGAAAGAAAAGAAAGGATAAAAAGAAAGAAAAAAGAAAGAAATAAAAAAGAAAAGAAAGAAAGAAAAAGCGAAAGAAAGAAAACAGAAAGAAAGAAAAGACGAAAGAAAGAAAGAAAAAAAGGAAGAGTAAAATTAGACGGTGCAAGGCCACAGCAGAAAAAAGAAAGAAAGAAAGAATAAAAAGAAAGAAAGAGAGAATAAAAAGAAAGAAAGAAAGAAAAAAGAAAGAAATAAAGAAAAAGAAAAGAAAGAAAGAAAAAGTGAAAGAAAGAAAGAAAAAAGAAAGAGTAAAATTAGACAGTGCAAGGCCACAGCAGAAAGAAAGAAAGAAAGAAAGAAAGAAAGAAAAAAGGAAGGAAAAGAAAGAAAGAAAGAAAAAAGAAACGAAAAATAAAGAAAACAGAAAGAAAGAAAAGACGAAAGAAAGAAAGAAAGAAAAAAGAAAGAAAGAAAGAAAAGAAAGAAAGAAAGAAAGAAAGAAAGAAAGAAAGAAAGAAATGGGAGAAAAATGAGAAATTAGTTGGCGAGATGGGTCGTGGAAAGTAAAGCAAGGAAGAACGAAAAGAAGAAAAGCAAGGCCACAGACAAAAAGGAAGTGATTAGAGAGAGAAGGAAGGAGAGAAGTGTGAGAGAGGTGCTACACACACACACACACACACACACACACACACACACACACACACACACACACACAGACAGAGAGAAAGAAGGGAGGAGGGAGGGAGTGGGGACAGGCAAAAGCAATCGGGAACGTCTGTGTGGGAGTAAAAGTAAAATAAATTGTGGCAACAAGAATGATGTATTTGTAAAATGGAAATGGCCCAAGGAAATATATTTAAGGTACAGGAGGTAACGCTATCAGGAAAAACAACTCGATAAAAACGAGCAGGTGTTGCGAGAAATAACGACTCGATATAGCACCCCACGCAATAATAATAATAATAATAATAATAATAATAATAATGATTAGAAGGAGAAAGCAGAAGAAAAAGTAGTAATAAAAGAAAAGTAGAAAAGGAAGAAAAAATACAAAAAGAAAAGATAGAAGAAAAATAAGTAGGAAAAAAAGAAAGCGAATACGAAAAAGCGACAAAGAAAAATATAGTACAAAAAGAAACAGCAATAACAACAACAACAACAACAACAACAATAATAATAATAATAATAATAAGAAGAAGAAGAAGAAGAAGAAAAGAATAATCAGAACAGTCAATAGTAGTAGTAAAAGAAAAAAAAGAAGAAAAAGTTAAAAAGATAGTTAAGTATATTAACCGTGCTTGATTATGTTTTAGGAAATGATGATAGTCATACCAGTCGTTATTGGAGCACTGTGAATGATCAAAAGTGTCCCGGAAAAAAGGTTGCAGGAACTTGAAATCAACTGATGAATAGGAGCCATCCAAATGACTTAAAAATAACCTACAAAGAAAAATACTGGAGTATTAAATAGACTTGCTGTCACATAATCTTAATTGTAAATCACCAGATGCGACAGGTGCAAACACTTAATTAACGAATGACCGAAACAAGATTTTGAAAGACAACACCAACCCAATGTGCAGGATAGGTAAAAAAACAGTAAAAAAAAAAACAATAGAGCATCTCTAATCTCAGGAGGCTCACAGTTGGTCCAAACGGAATGCATAGAAAGGTTCAACAAAAGTAACAGCTCACCTTTACAGGACAATCGTTAAGCACTATAACATCAACAACAAAAGACCAAATCTGTGACTATGAGCCATCAATTGTAATAGAAAACCATAAAGCTATTATTCTTCAGGAAAAAAGAAGAAAAAGAAATATAGACTAGAAGAAAAAGAAGAAGAAGAAGAAAAGAAGAAGAAATATAGACTAGAAGAAGAACAACAGTGAAAAGAATAAATATAGACTAGAAGAAGAAGAAAAAGAAGAAGAGATATAGACTAGAAGAAGAAGAAGAAAAAGAACAAAAAGAAGAAATATAGACTAGAAGAAGAAGAGGAAGAAGAAGAGGAAGAAATATAGACTAGAAAAAGAAGAAAAAAAAAGAAATATAGACTAGAAGAAGAAGAAAAAAAAGAAATATAGACTAGAAGAAGAAGAACAACAGCAACAACAACAAAAAGAAGAAATATCGACTAGAAGAAGAAGAGGAAGAAATATAGAATAGAAGAGAAAGATGAAATATAGAGAAGAAGGAGAAGAAAAAGAACAAATATAGTCTTGAAGAAGAAAAGAAGAAATATACACTAGAAGAAGAAGAAGAAGAAGAAGAAGAAGAAGAAGAAGAAGAAGGAAAACAGACTAAAAGAATTACTAACTAGAAAACAGTTTGAATGGAATCTTAAAAATGATGGCTGCGTGGGGAAAGCATATCGACAAATGTAATTTTTGTTCATTTCTAATAAAATATGTCGATAGCAAGTCACTTCCAAATCAAATACATTTCGAAGCAATATTAATATTTTTTTTAAAAATTCAAAGTAACTTCTTACTCAAGTTCATATTGAAAGAATTCTCACAGGACAGTTTGAAGGCAAGAGGGACAGAGGAAAAGAACATATCACTTATCCAGACAGTGCAAAGCCATAGCAGAAAGAAAGAAAGAAAGAAAGAAAGAAAGAAAGAAAAAAGAAAGAAAGAAAGAAAAAAAGAAAGAAAGAAAGAAAAAAAGAAAGAAAGAAAGAAAAAAAGAAAGAAAGAAAGAAAAAAGAAAAAAGAAAGAAAAAAAAAAGAAAGAAAGAAAGAAAGAAAGAAAGAAAGAAAGAAAAAAAAGATTAAATGGATGGCGGAACAAAGTCTAGAAGAGATAAGAGTGTGACAAAATTTATTAAGACAGGAAATTGTGGTGGGACATGATTGCTAACGTGCAAAAAGGGACACGACAAGAAGAAGAAGAAGAAGAAGAAGAAGAAGAAGAAGAAGAACTCACAAGAAAAACGGTTTTTTATTGGAATCCTAAAAATGTGATTCTTTGTGGAAAAGTTCTTAGTGTTCCGATGATTTTGTTTTCGTTTTTCATATGACAAGAATTTTGATAATGCATGAATATATTTGCAACAATGAATGTAGGAAATGAATATTGAATATATTCGTTCAAAGATTTATGTTGTCAACGCATAAGATTGGTCTTGTATCAACGATGTTGACACCAAAATGAGTGCATTGGAATAATATTTTTATAAGAACACGTACACTTACCATCTCTAGCCATTACCATAATATCTGTGAAGTCTTTCAGATATTGCTTTTCAATAAAGACATTCTTTGATTCAATTGGAAAAGGTTTAAGAAAACTATTCTTTGTCTTTTATACCCTTTTATACTTTTCCTTTTCTTTTTTTTTCCTTACTTTGCATTTTCTCTTTTCTTTTTAATTTCAGAATTTTATTACTATACCTTTCTCTTTTCTTATTTTTTTCCTTTCTTTACATTTTCACTTTGCCTTCATTTTCCTTTCTTTATCTTTTCCACTTTCCGTTACGTATCACCAATAATTTCTTTTTTTTTCTAGTACATTATAATTCTTTGTCTTATCTTACGGTTGCTTTTATATTTTCGTATGTCGTATATCTATTTTCTATTTGCTTTGTTTAAGATTTAATTTCTTTTCCTATTTATCCATCTTACATTCTCTCTTCTAGTTCTGTTTTTAACATTTGTCTGTATGTCTTATTGGTTTTTTCCCTTTGCCTTACATTCTTTCTTTTCTATATGCTTTCTTTGGGGTTTGCCTTATTCTTTCATTGCCTTTCTTTTTCCCTTTGCCTTACATTCTCTCTTTCCTATTTGCTTTCTATTTGTCTTTCCTCATTATATGTCCTTGAAATTTCAGTTGTTCCTTTGAAATGTTAAATAGTCTTTTTCTTCCCATTTTCGCTAAGACTTCATCGTTACTCGCATGTTTACTCTATGGTATTCTTTCTGCAGAACCCCATTTCTCTTGCTTCAAGTGTCTTCTTCATCTGTGAGAAGAGTGTCTAGTATACACAGTCACAAAGGAAGATCACTTCGCTTTTCTTTGTTTCTAACGTTTTTTTTTTTGTTTCTCTCTAATAAAAAGAATCTACGTGTAAGATGGTTATTGTTTTTATAATGTAGTATTTAGTATTTACCATAGAATAAAGCTACATGTTTGCAGCTCCCAATAAGGAGCCTTATAAAACTACCCTTCGTCCTTACTTTGGATATGGCTGCCACATATGGTCTGGTGCTCTTGCAATATATTTAGATATTCTTGATAAAATCCAAAGAAGAATATATCTTAAATATTTATAAGTCTACCATTCATCCTTGCTTTGAATATTGCTGCCACATCTAGTCTGGTGCTTCTGCTATATATTTAGATATTCTTGAGAAAATCCAAAGAAGAATCTATCTTCTATATTTATAAGTCTGCCATTCATCCTTGCTTTGAATATTGCTGTCACATCTGGTCTGGTGCTTCTGCTATATATTTAGATATTCTTGATAAAATCCAAAGAAGAATCTATCCTAAATATTTAATGGCTGACGTTTGAGTCATCCCGATGCCAAAATCCTAATCGTAAACCGGATTTTGAATGTTTGTTTTTAAGAAGACAATACTGGCCTAAAATCCAGTCTTAACGCCTCCATTGCCTTTTTTCATACTGAGCAAAGCGTAATAAATAGCTATCTTATATATATATATATATATATATATATATATATATAATGAAATATAGTCTTAAGGTGTGCTATATTTAATATATTTATTTGGAATAAAGTGCTCAATATAAGAGATAGAGCGTGTGTAAATATAAAAGTGAACATAGAAGTCAACACTAAAGTGTTGACTTCTATGTTCACTTTTATATATATATATATATATATATATATATATAAATAAATAGCTATCTTATATATATATATATATATATATATATATATATATATATATATATATATTCCATGAAGATGACTGAATGTACAGTTGAAAGTACTTGTGTATTAAAGAAAGACCTTATACAGCCTAAAATTTTAAAAAACAAGAATCATAACATTCATCGAGTGATTTGTAGGTTAATGCACCTTTAAAATTTTGTTTGCCAAGGGATTTCGCTATTTTATATCATTAACTTTACTAATTTACTTTTTGCATGAATGATTCATTGTAATATATATATATATATATATATATATATATATATATATATAGATAGATAGATAGATAGATAGATAGATAGATAACTAGACTCGTTTCGAAAAACCCTCGAATTTTTGATTTGCAATAATCAAATCAATCTCGAGGGAAAAAAAGGTTTAAAAAAAAGAAAGAGCTACAAACATGAACTTCTGCCGACAAAAAAATCGCACAGATCCAGTTTTGAAGCCAAAAGAAAAAAACCCGATACGAGTAACAACTAACTAAAAAAAGCCTTACTTTCCCTGACGATCCGTTTAGGTGAAACCTAGGTAGGTTTGTCTGGCTCACTAGGTGTATATATATATATATATATATATATATATATATATATATATATATATATATATACGCACATGAATATATATATATACACACATGAATATATATATATATATATATATATATATATATATATATATATATATATACATGAATCCCTCGATTAGTGCAGCTAATCTGTACATCTATAATATAAAAAATTCAATTTTTAATTACTATGATTGAAAATTATTTCCGCACTAATCGAGTATTATGTATACTCTAACTGAATATTTGTATATAAAGATTTTAGCGCATTAATTGAAAACGCATTAATTGAGGGATTCATGTGTGTGTATATATATATATATATATATATATATATATATATATGCATTTAGGCAGTAAATTTTCTTTTAGGCATGTCTGATTGAATAAATTACAGACATTAAGTCTGCTAATTTGTTAAGACTTATCTTCCTATTTCAAGTTTCGCAAAAATTACTTTGATTGATTTGTTTTCACGGCTTATCGATCTTTTGCAGGTTATTTAAGACCAGGTAATATTTTTAGATTGTAAGAATTTTATGGAGATAATAATGATCTGCCGATACAAGTCTTATTAATTAACCCATAGCTCAGAGGAGAAGCAGCGTAATCATACCTTCCCCTTGGATTATTGCGTGTAAGTGAATCCAAGTGAATTTGGAACATGGCTCTTCGATTTCTAATTCGGAGCCGTTATCCCATACACCACCTGCACATCCAAGCTAATAACACCAGGTATTACCAAACTGTCATCCATCTTGATATTGATCAGGATTTTGTTTCTGGTTCCTTCTAAAGTCTCTTTCACTCCCAGTAGAACTTGGCACCTTAGTGGAATTATCGACTTGGTTGGTGTGAATTGATTAAATATAAAATTTAAATATGCTTACACTATTCAATGTTCTCCTTTTGAGGTAAAAACACATATTTAAAACAAAAAAATCTAATGTTTCATTTGGTCAGATTTGGGGAATTGGCTCGGGTCGATAATCTTTCAGCAGATATATATATATATATATATATATATATATATATATATATATATATATATGATAAAAGACAAGAGGAAAACTTACTGCAAGAAAAGCTTTCCTTTTGTTTTTTATTCATATATATATATTATATCATTTCAAGGCAAATGTAAAGATTGGTTTTGTTGCATGTGTTTCTATACAAGAGCATCCTTCACAGATACAATTTTCTGAAAATAATATATATATATATATATATATATATATATATATATATATATATATATATATATATAAATAAACAAAAAATCTAAAATCACCTCATATGGTTATTTTATATTACCTTCTCCACTTGGATTATATACCAACTTATTTGTTACCTTTACACACACACTCTCTCTCTCTCTCTCTCTCTCTCTCTCTATCTATCTATCTATATATATATATATATTGTTACCTTTACTATATATATATATATATATATATATATATATATATAACCGTCTATCTGTGTGCGCGTAGGTGTAATTGCTTGAATCTAAATCTGCACGTGTGTAGTCATTTTTTCGCTACATTTATATGTATATGCATATGAATTACAGAGCATATATGTGTGTATATAACTTTATTAGTGCGTATTTTGTGTGTCTATGTGTAGGCGCATCGAGACCTGCGTATTTGTTCGGAAAATCTTCACGAAATTAATGTTTATAAAATAGCATTTTACTGCGATCATTTGAAAGGATTCGAATGCAGAAAAAAAAAGACGCGTGGGCGTCACGATTCGATTGCAAGTTATCTATTTCACTTATTTTATACAGTGGCACGGTGGAGTAATGGATAGCGGCTCGGAGTGAGGAATCCGTGAGCCGAGTTCGAATTCCAGTCGGATCCATTATATTCACATGGGATGGAAAAGGTATGAATCCGATTCTTCTCCCCCCCGAGTTATGGGTAAATAGCAAGGCAGACCGGGTTTAACTGATCTACCGTAGAAAGAAATGCCAACCTACTATGGGAAAATCTGCCTCGTCAGTCACATATCGAAAGATACAAAGAACGCCTAAGCATGACACATAACTGACTGACTGACTGATTTTCGTGTCATCAAAAGTTTCTTTCTCGGCTTATTACCTTGTCTATCTCAATTTGTGTTTTTTGGATCGCTTAAATAGACGAGAATTTAGGATGAGGCAAAAATGCAGATTACAGGTCGGGGATACTAAAATCAAATCGATACAAAAATTTAAATATCTGGACGTGTGCTAACAGAGGACAGAAAGTGCAACACTGATATCCGAAGATGTATTGTGATGATCAAAGATGCATTCTAAAAACTAAGCAGAGTATTAAGAGACAGGAAAATTTTGTTGGAAACAAAGTAAAGAGTACTGCACTGTTACGCGACATTTGTCCTCCTGTATGGCAGCGAATGCTGGACAATCTCCTCAAAGAGGAAGAGACTCGAAGGAACAGAAATGTGGTTCTACAGAAGGATACTGAGGATACCATGGGCCGAACATGTGAATAACGACGAGGTTTTGGAGAGGAAACTTATACTAAACGTCAGGAAGAATCACTTAGAATTTCTGGGGAAGGTAATAAGGAAGGAGGGCTTGGAAAATTTGATACTCACAGGACAGATAGAGAGAAAGGGAGACAGAAGAAAGCAGCGCGTAATATACCTGATGGGCTTGAGCAAATGGATGACAAAACAGTGAGAGAAATAATAAAAAGACAAGACTTATTAAGAGCTATAAGAGACAGGAAGTTGTGGAGGGCCATTATCGTCTACGTCCTGAAGAGACACTGCACATAAAAAAGATGTAGTCTCTGAGGCTCGAGTTTTATAAGCTACTAGCAGTGGAGCCCGGCGTTGCCCGGGGATGTAACAGTAAGAGATCATAAAGACTGAAAAAAATAAAATTGACAAAGATTATTGTTTAAGGTTGACGGACACGCATGTCTTAATTAGTTTTTTTTTTGTTTTTTGTTTTTTTTACGAATTGGTCAAACTCAAACAAAAACATTGTTTTCAATCGTTATGAGTCTACCGATTGAATAGAATTTTATTATAAACAATTCCGATCCCATATATAAACGAACACACACAACCTGGGTTTTATAATAAGTATAACTCGATATGAGTTGTCCCCCTTTCATTCTCGCGATGACTCTTAATCGTGTTTTTAAATTGATTTCGTGCCAGAACAATTGTGTTTTTCCAATTTTTGGCGCTGTCAGAACTACCGCAAGGTAATTTTACTTAGTCCTGTGAAGTTTTGTTGAAATCGGTTGAAAAATGTAGGAAATCCGATCCAATATGTAAACGTACACACACACACACACACACACACACACACACACACACACACACACACACACACACACACACACACACACAACCTGGGTTTTATAATAAGTATGATTAATATTTTTAAAAATTGTTGAACAAGCGTGAAATTAGATTGATCCTCTTCGGGTACCCCTCTTTAGAAGCCTTGGAGCTGACGATGCTACGCTTAATACATACCACGATCATAAACAAATTTAAGACCTTTATCTTGAACAGCACGATCTTTCAGCAGTTGTTACAGGTGTGAAAAGGTAACATCTGATATACTTTGGGCGGGTTTTTGTTTTTTTTATCCGAATTAGATTTTTTTTTTGTAGTTATCCCTAACGCCTGTGGTGAGTGTTCCAGCTCGAGTGAAAGCAAGGACTCTGATTCCGGATTTTTACGGCCTGTAACATGTAAACCCTCTTTACAAGTAATACAATCTGCATACCAGTGAATAAAAACGTTCGTTCAAGTAATCTGATACTGAGGCACCTGGAGTAGGTGTAGCACGTTGAACTCAAACAATCCGCCCCGATGCACGAAATAAAGGGTTTGATTTGAAAATTCCAATCACTTGAAGAAGGCTGGAGTGTACAACAGTCGAAACATGGTGAATATGGCAACAAAGATGAGGACAACAGGACGAACAATGTAAATAGTGTATCTATCTATCTATCTATCTATCTATCTATCTATCTATCTATCTATCTATCTGATTCTGTTCATATCTATCTATCTATTTAACCCAGTATCTCGCGATCGAACTTTCTTTTCTTTTCTTTGCTTTCTTTCTTTCTTTCTATCTATCTATCTATCTATCTATCTATCTATCTATCTATCTATCTATCTATCTAACCCAGTATCTAGCGAGCGAGCGAACCATTTTTTCTTTCTTTTTCCTTTTTATTTTCTTTCTTTCTTTCTATCTATCCCAGTTTATTACTTTTTCAGACTCTTTTTCAGTGTTTCTTTCAGGTTCGTTCTTTTTTCTATCTATCTATCTATCTATCTATCTTCTATCTATCTATCTATCTATCTATCTATCCCAGTATCTAGCGAGCGAGTTAACCATTTTTTTCTTTCTTTTTCCTTTTTATTTTCTTTCTTTCTTTCTATCTATCCCAGTTTATTACTTTTTCAGACTCTTTCTTTCTTTCTTTCTGTCTTTCTTTCTTTCTTTCTTTCTTTCTTTCTTTCTTTCTATTTCAGTGTTTCTCTCCGTCAGGTTCGTTCTTTTTTTCTGTTTTTATCTATCTATCTATCTATCTATCTATCTATCTATCTATCTATCTATGGGAAGTGCTCAGAAGTGCTCGCCCTACCAAGAAGGATTTATTTATTCTGATATTTGGTTATCTGGTCAGATTTTGGGAAGTGAAACGGGTCATGAACTTTTTAACATCACCTTATATTGATATAAAATTATACTGGATTTAAATACGGCGATCGATCTGATATTGTATTAAACTGATATATACGAGGAAATACTGAAAAGTTCTCGGCCAGACGAAAAAGGGATTAAAAATTGATATTTGGACATTTGCGATTTTGGAAAATGGATCGATCTGAGGACTTTTCAGCACTCTTTTTCATTAACATAATATTCTACTAAAAATAGAATTGGGGATCAGTTTCAGATTGTTATTAAGTAATAGAGTGATCTCTTCAAAATTTCGACCTGGGTATAACGATAAACTACATCCGGCAACAAGGCTTCTGATTGGGAGGTTTTGAGGAGCGTGGAACCATCACTTAATTGCTGTTGTTCCCAGATGTAACCTGACCATGGGTGGTAGCACCTGTTTGGGACCTAGCTATAGGCCAATAGTTAACCTCCAAACTGGGGTCAAAATACTATGAAAGTATAAAAATACATATTTGTAGTAAGAATACCAGCAATACATTTTCAAAAAAAAAAAAAAAATTACCAAAGCTCGCAAGAAAATTAAATTTCGGCAGGACCCATAAGAAGTTCATATGGCGTTAAACAAATCAAACCAAACCAAACCAAACCAAACCAAACCAAACCCTTCAAAATTGTTACATAATGGTGCTGAAAAGTTCTAGGGTCAATAAGAAGAGGTTAAAAAAAAAGAGATGTTTGGGTCTGATTTGGCCGCCGCACTGAGACGGGTTGTGACATAAGGTCGGTTTTTAACGTGGGAAACCCGAGCGTGTACACCCGGGCCAAGAACAAAAATTCCCCGAGCCGTCGCTTGCGCTGGCCTCGGTTCGAACATCGATCCTTCTCTCTAGTGCAATGAGAAGGTGCAGCCTCGGACATCTGTTCCCCAGGGCTGGGCATCTCACAGCATGATTTTCCTCGGTTGCGCCTCTGTCCTCCGACGGAGTCGCAATCGAGTCGCACTCTACCCGAAAACAGAGACGCAACTGAGAGATAATAAAAACCTACCGGACCTTGGCAAGTAGGTCGACCAGAAGTCTTTTTTTATTACTCTTTTTGCATTGCTGCAAATTTCTTCTGGACATAAAATGGGGGAGGGATTCTGTTTTATATTGCTATTAAGTAATAGACTGAATATCAGTGAGTTTCTTCCCCAAATCTGACCAAAGTCATCTGGTCAGATTTGGGGAAGTGGTCGTATCGGGGATATTTTAGTACGAAGGTCGATGAATTAATTTACAGTATAACGTGTAGTTGTTATATGCAGCAAAATAAGATATATTATATCAGACACATATTTTTTCAGAAAGTATATGTTCTTTCAGACTTCTTCAGGGGCTGTTGGCTAATTGAGGGAGCCATTGAGTGACTGCGACGATTACCATTGCAAAACATTTTTTATGAGAGCGGATCAATGAGTTTTAGCCTGATATGTAGTCATGTTAAATTTTGATCTGAAAATTTTACTGCATAATGTTCAGTCTCTTTGATTAATATTCAGCGGCATATTAAGTGCATTGACAAGAAAAAGTGATTATGTCGAAAGATAAATTATAAATATCTGTTTGAAAAAATGAACGCTTTTTTTCATCATTAAGCTACTGTACGTACCTATATATCACACTGGGAACTTTTCACGTTAGAAGTAGATAGGGCCATCTCTCGTCCGGTTAGTAGTCCCTCCCCGTCTACTGAACAGGAATGTAGGTTTATTTCTTGTTTCCTGTTTAGGATTGAGTTTCTGATTTATTCTAAAGTCTTCTCGTTCTCTTTCACTCCCAGTCGGCCGTTGCGTCTTAGGGGCATTATCGCCTTGCATGGGATGAAGCTGCTTTTTTTTGCATTCTACTGAGGCTGCGTGAAAATAAATCCAATGTTTTCCTTTACTTAGCTTAGTCTGGCACAAGGCCACAAGTATGGGTTAAACACACTCCTCAGTAACAATGGCTAACCAAACTACCTTGTTAATTATTATCCAAACATCACAGTATCCAATTCAGAAAAAGAGTCAACTGTAACGATTAAAAAGAAAATCATGTCAAAATGTGAATTGCAATTACGGCCACATCACATGGCGTACGGTCACTTAGGTTAAGCAATATTGAGCCTGCTCAGTACCTAGATGGGTGACCGCTTTGGAATAACAGATACTGTAAGCTTGGATGTGCGGTTTCTGTAATGGATAATGATTTTGGATTCTTAGTCGGAGAGCCGAGTTTCAATTCCATTTGGGTTCGTTATATTCACTTACACGCAAATAACCTTGAGAAAGGCATGAATCCACTTTTTCTCCCTTCATATGTAGGTTAATTAGTAAGACCTGTCCCACTAAATCATTATTATCTAAAAAAAAATTTCTTACAATCTAAAAATATTTTCTGGCTTTAAATAAGCTGTAATGGGTTGATAAGCCGTAAAAAACTAATCGATCAATAAAAAAAATGTGAATTGAATAAAATTGAGAAGTTGGACACGAGGAAGGTATTTATTTATTTTTTTAAGCATATCACCCCAAGGAAGGCGACAGTGCCACTAGCACGCAAGGGGTTACAGAGTAAGATTAAAGAAGGGGGTGTTTGAGGAAAGGATATAGAGAAAGACAGGATCAGGATCAAGGCGACACAAGATGTCGATTGACATTACATTTGAATATTTGAAGATTATAGGTTTCCGAGAAGCTACTAAGAGAAAGGGAGTTCCACTGCTGGGAAGTGCGAGATAAGAAGCTGTTGGAGAAGAAGAGACGGCTACATTTAACCGTTTCGTCAGTAAAAGAGTGGGGTCGAGATGCCAACCTAGTAGCACGCTTAAATTCATGCGGTTTGGGTACCAGTGAAAGTAGCTCGTCAGAGCAAAAGCCATGAAAATATTTATAGAAAAGACAGAGGGAAGCCACAGCACGTCTGTGAGAAAGTGACTGTAGACGAAACAGCAGATCAGGACTTATCAAATTGCATATCCGTCTCTGGATTTTATCGAGGACCACGAGATGAACAGCGGAAGCACCAGACTATATATGGCAGCAGTATTCAATGCATGGGCATATGGTTGATTTATAGATTTGAAGAATGGACTCAGGAGAGAAAAACCTTCTGGCGCTAGACAGAGAACCAACTTTTCTTGCGATAGATGAAGCTATTGATTGATTGTAGTTGTTTCACTTCAGGTCAGTGGACAGCATGAGAGCAAGCAGGCGCAGACAGGCAGTCTCGTGGAGTTAGGCATCGACCATTCTGATGTTAGGCAGGGAGGGTTCTCTATGGTGGGTAAATGAGAGCAGTTTCGTTTTGGAGGCATTAAAGTTTACAAACCATTTCCTGCTCCAGTTAACCACAGATTGGAAGTCCTTCTGGAGACCAGTGAAAGAAAGACGTAAGTAGATTGTCAGTTGAGGTTGCCTGTGTGTCATTATAGGGGTTTCAGTTGCGCTTATATTAGAAAACGCAAGTCGCTATACACTATATATGTTTTCCGTTACTTCGAATATTTATTTAGATCTCATCTGTTGTCCAGTAGGAAGAATCTTTTTGCATGACACCATTGCAATGGAAAGGATGGCTTCCAAACGCCATGCTTTCACAAAGGGCAACCCCAGGCCACATATGGTTTTGAATTCAGAGTTGTCCAACTCCTAGAATGATTGCCAACCACGGCTGGATAACCCAGTCTGCTCTGCTATTTAATTAATAGCTAGGAGGTAGGATATGTATTTGTGCGTAAGTTAATGTAAAGAACTTGATTGGGACTCGAATTCGACTCATCGATTTATTATTTTGAGCCGCTATCCTTTACATCTGAACGTAAGAAAAGAAAAAAGGAAACGAAAGGCAATGAAAAAGAAAGGATCGTTACGAGTAAAGAAGTATTTAACCCTTTGAGCCCTGCTTTCCTCAACTATTTTAACCCTTTCTGCCTGAGATCCTGAGTCAAAATTCCCAAATAATGGGTATGTAATGTTTCACGGTAGATATAAAAATAGTTACAAGTGTTTACCTACCGTTCAACTGGGCATTAAGTTATTTTTCTCTACCACCGTTCAACCGGTGTCTGGGCATTACGTCATTTTCTCTACCACCGTTCAACCGGTGGCTGGGCATTAAGCCATTTTTCTCTACCACCGTTCAACTGGTGTCTGGGCATTACGTCATTTTCTCTACCACTGTTCAACCGGTGGATGGGCATTACGTCATTTTTCTCTACCTCTGTTCAATCGGTGGATGGTCATTACACCATTTTTCTCTACCACCGTTCAACCGGTAGCTGGGCATTACGTCATTTTCTCTACCACCGTTCAACCGGTGGATGGGCATTACGTCATTTTTCTCTACCTCTGTTCAACCGGTGGATGGGCATTACGTCATTTTCTCTACCACCGTTCAACCGGTGGATGGGCATTACGTCATTTTTCTCTACTTCTGTTCAACCGGTGGTTGGGCATTACGTCATTTTTCTCTACCACCGGTAAAGCGGTGGCTGGGCATTAAGTCATTTTTCACTAGCACCGTTCAACCGGTGGTTGGGCATTTCGTCATTTTTCTCTACCACCGGTGGTCAGGGCTCAAAGGGGTAAAGGTTTTTCTTGCAACACTTTTTTTTTAGATAATATGATCCTTAATTATTTTAGATAATACGATCCTTACTTTTCTTTAGATAATACGATCCTTACTTTCTTAGATAATAGATCCTTATTTTTTAAGATAATATGATCCTTTATATTTTTCGATAATACGATACTCATAATTTGACCCTTACATTTTTTTAGATAATACGATCCTTACTTATTTTAGATAATACAATCCTTACTGTTTTTAGATAATGCAATCCTTACTTTTTCTTAGATAATGCAACCATTACTTTTCGCTTATCTAAGATAAAAAGAACTGGGAATAAATAAACGGAGACAAATTTTGATTTTCTTAAATGAAGTGTTTTTATTGTCC